CTCTCTCCCTCCCTCCCTCCCTCTCTCCCTCCCTCTCTCCCTCTACTGTATATTACAGAATATTATACGAAATAGATCTCTGTCCCTTTCTCTCTCAAGACAGACTTTTTCATCAGTTACAGAGGAAATGGCTGAGAGAAGGAACAACATTGTAACAACTAAACTCAACTGCTAAATGACTGCATTCCTAATAAAAACCTTGTTTTTATTCCTTTGAATATTATATCAATACCAAACAAATCACGGAAGAAGGAACTCACATGAAACAATAAAAAACATGTAAAGCATAAATGTGACGACAACTATAGCAAATTAATCCTGGCCTACCAAATTTTCTGAAGCCATGCAGCACAAGCTGAGCACTAAACAGTCTCATACACAACGTCCATATTTTTTAGAAGACAGGAACAGATGATAATATGATATTCAGCTCAATTCTGTTATCTTCATCGACATCACCCCATTCATTACCCAGAGGAACACAAGCTCTCCAATTTCATAAAAATATCAATTTCTGCTATTATCTGCATCTGTCTTCAGCACAGACTTTATGTCCTGTGGAAATCTGAACTGGTCAAGGACTCAAAAAACCCTTCATTCTCAAATGACAATCGCCATCCCTTCCTCCCTTTCCATAACAATAGAAACAAGGAAGTGGTCGTATTCTTTCTAAGGTAATTTTGTCTCACATCGTTCAGCAAATAAATACAACATCATTTCGTTTTGTATCAGACAGCAAATTGGTTGCAGGAATGATACAAAAGCAAGGTCATTCAGAGGTGACTAAGAGATCACATGCTTGTATTTCATTATTTAAAACACTAATAATAATAATAATAGATAGCATTTGTATAGCGCATATCCCCGCTCAACAGCAGGCTCTATGCGCTTTACACTAATAGATATGAAACAGGGCTGGATTTAGTCGGTCTTAATTTCCCCTCCCTCCCCCCCGCCACCTCATTTTGAAACTTTTCATAAAATGATTCTTTTTAAAAAAACCAACAAAAGATTAAAAAAAAGAAAACATAAGATGGGAATTAACTAAATCTGACTGTTTTCCCAGGTCCAATTCTCTCACAATGACTAGAGACGACGTTGCACAAAATAAAGTCATCGGTTGAAAACATGTTCCGATCTCGGGGGAAATCCACTGATATAGGAAGGGAAAAGTTTTAATTTTAACTGGAAAATTGCAAATTACTAGCTAGTGAGAGTGTGCACCTTTGCCTAAGGCGAATGTGACAGCAGGTAAAAGAAAGTAGGCCTACAAAATAGGCTACTGTCATTATAGCAGCCTTACAGGGATATCTTCCAGATCATAAATAGATTTAAAATTAAATATCATTTGTATCAAAGAGCACCCCCTTCTAGGTAGACTGAAAATAACTAGGTATGACAAAGGTCATACTAGTAATCTAATACTGATTTTCACACCTGCGTGATCACAAGAAGTGGCTTACATCGGGAGTCGCGGATTTACATTTGTGTTGACAACATTCATGAGTCAGTGAAAAGTTTATGCACAGTGATGTTTCTGACTCAGTTATCTTATTTACAGTTTCTAGTTTTTCAAATTTATTTTTCTGGGGAAGGGAACGAGTCGTGTGTGTGTGTGGGGGGGGGGGGGCAGCAGAAGAACAATTTTGTTCCTACTTATTAAATAATTGTCATTATAGAGGGAGGCAGAGATTGGGATGGGGGGGGGTGTCTAAGCAATGGTTTGTACAGAATAGATCGATAAAAGCTGTAGGAGTAGCAGAAAAACAGAAAAAGACTACTTGCTAACACAAGTAGGAAACTTTTCCAAGAATATATTATTTTAATATGCGATTTCAATGAATAGACGCGGGAATACTCTAACAAACCTGAGAAAAAGTCAGGCGGCAAACGGGCAAAGCAAAAACGCTTTGGGGATATAAGCAAGCATTACCAGACATAATGCCGTCTTTCACTGAATTCCAATAATAGAAGACGAAAAAAGGAGAGGAAGGGGGTGAGATGGTGAAGTGCACATGACCCGCAGAAAATAAAAGACAGTGAGAGACACAGAGGGGCAGGGGCGGAAGGAGAAAGAGAGAGAGAGAGAGAGAGAGAGAGAGAGAGAGACAGAGAGACAGAGAGAGAGAAAGAGTGATGGAGAGATTGGACAGGGTCCACAATAGTAGTAAGACACAGAAAGAGAGAGAATTAAGAAAGAGAAAATGGGAGAGAGAGAGAGTGAGGAGAGAGAGAGA